TGTTTCATACTTATCACCTAATTTCTTAACTGATAGGCTCTGGCTTCATTTTGCTTATGAGAGTAGGTTTCAGTCACTCCATCCCAAATCTCCTTAGCAGTATTAGCCCATAGGAAATTTTTTGCAATATGAGGTAACATAGAATTACATAGCCAGGACATTACCATGTAATTCTCCTACACCCATCGAGACGAGTCTGTATCAGGTTTCTTCTCCTCCCCAGTGAGATACCCTAACTTTCCACGGGCATCAATAGCCATCTTAGCTAATTGTGCCCACTCCAAATAATTTGTACCATCGAGTTTTACTGTAGTAATGATCCCAGACCCAAAAATATCACTACTACCTCCAACACCCAGCCTCACAGTACCAATAGATTTTATCTCGGTATTCCAACTCTCCATCTTACTTCAAACAGTTCAACAGTAAGAAAAAATAGATTGGAGACCTTCTAACACTAATTTAATATCACACACACAGAAACCAATCCTTTCGGAAGAAGAAAATCTTATTTGGAGAGAAATCTCTCTCCTCCCCATGCTTCCCAACAAAGAGAAGAATGAATCGATCATTCCAGGAGGCTTAGAAAATTCCAGAAATCAAACCGCCCTCTTCAGAAAATCAAAAGAAAACTAACAATACCTGGGCACCCAAGATCAGGTCATAAACAAAGAGTCCAACTTTTTTGGGACTCTTCCCCGTACTCCAGTTCTTCCTGATTTTGATGCCGAACAGTAGATTACCTTCTTGATGACTAGATCCCACCAAAAAATCCAAGAACTGGGCAATCTATAGAAGATCGATCAGCCCTTTATTGCTTCATGCAGTCAGCTGATCCAGGGCTGCATGAGAATACTTCAAGAAATCTGCTGAACTAAAAAATATGAAAGAAAAGTATTTTCTTGAAGAGAGAAGGAAGAAAAAAGGAGAATAAGAGAATAAGAGAATTTGAAAAGAAAAGAGAGCAAAAAACTGGCCGCCCCCTTCACTTATTATTTATACTAAAAATAATAGAACAGTACAAAGACAACTATGCCCTTATAGGGCAGCAAAACATAAAACAGCATATATAACACTCAAAAACATAATAAAATTTGGACTCACATAACTATTGTGGTCCCCACCTCCTATCTAACAATTAACATAAAACATCTACTCAGAAAAACATCATAAAACTGATTAATCTTCAACAGAGCAGGCATTTGATAAACATGCTCAGTGTGGCAAAAATGGTGGTGGTGGTGATAATGCACGGGAGATGGATTTTGAAAGTTTTCTTGACTTTGTTTTGGCCCTAGAAAACAAAGATACACCGGGAGGATTGACATATTTCTTTCGGTGTCTTGATCTCCATGGAAGAGGGTACCTTACAACAGCTGATATCCACACACTTTTCAGAGATGTACACAAAAAATGGATCGAGGGAGGGAACTACGAGCTGCACATTGAGGACGTAAGAGATGAGATATTGAGATTCCTTAAATTGCATTTGCAGAGAGCACAACAGCACATGGAGTTGGCCTACGACCGCAATCACCGGGAGCTTGAATTGGTAGTTGGGGATTGGGTCTATTTGAAGCTCCAGCCTTACCGGCAAGCTTCAGTAGCCCGACGAGTTTGGCAGAAGCATATCCTAAGTATTTTGGCCCATTCATGGTGATTGAAGTCATTGAACAAGTGGGGCAGGTGGCTTACAAATTGGAGCTTCCTACTTGCTCAAAATTACACCCGATTTTCCATGTTAGTATGCTGAAGCCTTGCCTAAGCCCTACAACTAAGGCCAGCCCGACCCTTCTGCAATTCACAGAAGACGGGGATATACTGATTGAACCATGACAAATAAAAAATGTAAGAGGGGTCAAGATAGGCAAGAAGTTACACAAGCAAGCCTTTAGTCATCTGGAAAAACTTGCCACCAGAAAATGCCACTCGGGAGGACTATGACAAACTACAAGATCAGTATCCCCACATCAACCTTGAGGACAAGGTGTTTCTTGAAGAAGGTGGGACTGATAGGCTCTCAACTACCCACTCGGGACAACAACAGGAGACCCAGGCCCAAGACACACAGCAAGTCAGGCCCAGAAGGCCCATGCATCAATCCAGAACACCACACGAATCACGTAGGTGGCACCACCCATTACGTTCGTATATAACCGACACCCACGTATTGAAAAGTAATCATAGACTGTGAAAATTCTCAGAAGTGGTTACAGTTGTAGCTGGCCATTTATTATATAGGCCAATGAACGAATGCTTGAAGGGTAGTGAATGAATCATTGAAATTTCTCTCTCTCTCTCTCTTGTCTTCTACCTCTCATTCATTTCAGGAGGGCAAGCTCCCTCGAACAAGCTCACCGGTGACAGAATAGAAGCGGGTCTTATCACTAGATCTGATATATCATATACTGTGAGTGTGGAGCCAATATATGCATAAGCCTAGATCATCTCATACGCAAGCAGTGAATAGAATACTTGCCTATTTGAAGGGGTGTCCATGAAAAGGGATGTTGTATTCTAATCATGGGCATCTAAAGGTAGAGGCCTATTCTGACACTGATTAGGCAGGTTCTATTGGTGATAGGAGTCTACTTCTGGCTATTTGTACCTTGGTGGGTGGTAATGTTGTATCTTGGAGAAGTAAGAAACAATCAATCATGGCTCGATCTAGTGTAGAGGCAAGTACAAAGCTATGCCTCATGGAGTGTCTGAATTGTTGTGCCTGAAGTGCAGATTGATACTACTCCAATGATATTATATTGTGACAACCAAACTACCATAAACATAACCCACAATCCTGCTCAACATGATCGTACAAAGCATATAGAGGTTGATCGACATTTCGTCAGAGAAAGAGTTGTCAGTGGAGAGATTTGTTTTCCTTTTGTATGATCTGAAGATCAGTTGGCTGATTGTCTTACTAAAGGTGTCCCTAAATCAAAGCTTGACAACAATTTGAATAAACTAGCATGACAAATGTCTATGCTTAGCTTGGAGGGGAGTGTTGAGAGTGTAAGGGCATTTATGTCCTTTTATGTTCTTTTGTATTTGGGCACCTGTTCAATATGTTAAATGAAAGGTTTCTTGGTGTGAACAGTAACACATCGATTACTCTCGACAAAACCTTTTTTCCTTCTTCTTTCCATCTCAAAATATTTTAACTGAACAAATAAAATAACATATATACTGCAAGGTGCAAATCAGCTGGTTGGTAAGGTCTCCTGCTGGTCGTAGTGGAGACTTGGGGTTGAATCCCGCTTGCACCTAGGTTGGGGGTTATGGGTTGGGGGATGGGCTACCCCCCGTTGTGTAGCCCTTCAAAAGAAATAAAAATAAAATAAAATAACATATACCCATAGCAATGTCTATTGAGATTTTGTGGCTGCAAAATTCAGAATGTGACTGAAAAATCATTATAGTAGTTTACCCCAGTAGTAGCAATCATTAATCCATAGCTATTGAGATTTTGTTTCTCTAAGGCATCAGAGGTCATTGCACCAACCAATGGCTATTGGACATACTGGCATAGAAAGAATATCTTAAGCATCTTGGTGTTGGATAAGATATACACAAGTTTTATATTATAATTAAGATCTAGTTAAAGGCTTCCATTTTTTTTGAATGGTGCTTTCAGCATATCCCATTTCTGATGAACAAGGAATCCTGAGTGAACTTTATCATTTTATTTATAATAATAGAAAATTATTTATAGGGCTATGCTGAACTTAGAGAGAGAGAGAGAGAGAGAAGGTTTTAACCATTAACAAGGACCCTCTGTTTCAAAAACTGGTGTACCCAAATCACTGTCCCTTTTAATTGTTTATGTTTATGCCTTTCTCTGGGTTATAGTTATACAATATGGCTTTAGCTGGCGAGGGACCGGTGCTAACAGAAATGCTATAGAGGGGATACCCCCCCGTCCACACCCTCAAAATAGCACACACGAAGGTAGGGATAGAAGTCAATCCCATGTCTGTGGACCAAGAACCATACTTCTACCAATTATGCTTGTCCTTGTTTTAGTTTATAGATTTTACGAGATCAGACAAGTAAGAGTGCTTAAGCATTAGATGAAATACTTGTCTGTATGCTGGTCCCTAGTTAATCAACTACAGAAACCCATCAGTTTTTACAGCCAATCCCAGTTTATAACTTTATATACGACGATACAATGGTTCTAGTATCTTTTTACAAACAGACCAACAGCAAAGAAGCGCAGTCATAAAAACATTTCTCCTTTATGGTTTATGGCTGGAAGTACCAACTGGAAGGAAAAGAATTAACTAGAGAACCAACTGACCTGCCCACTGCAGAATGGTCCAGCCCCAATGCCAATCGTGGGAATTCGGAGGGCAGATGTTGTCGCCGCGGCAACAGGTGCAGGAACACATTCCAGAACAACCGAGAAGCACCCGGCCTCCTGCAAAGCAAGTGCCGTTTCCACAACCTGAATAGAGATACTAGCTTGTTATCGTTCTGGGAAATCATGGAAAAAGGAGGCAAACCACTAGACCAGAGCGAACAAAGAGACCTTGACAGCGCTGGCAACATTTTTCCCTTGAGGCCTAAATCCCCCAAGAACACTAATTGCTTGTGGGGTGAGCCCGACGTGGCCCATAACAGCAATCCCGGCTTCGACAATGGCCTTCGCCGCCGTAATTCTGGAAGGGGCTCCTCCTTCCAATTTAATTGCATCCATGCCGCCTTCCTTGAGCACTCTAACAGCCGTGTTTACTGCCTGGACATATCACCAAACCATAAAACGAAAACCCTACGAAATTAAGATTTTAAAAGAAAAAAAACTTTAATTCATAGAGAGAATATATACAGAAGAGAAGAAATGCTGTATTCTTGCGCTAGCGTCATCTAATTATTTGGATTAGATTTACCTGCTGAGGACTGGATTCGTAGGTGCCGAAGGGGAGGTCGCCGACGAGGAGGGGACGTTTGGCACCGCGAGAAACGGCACGACAGTGGACGAGCATCTCGTCGAGGGTGATGGGGAGGGTGGTATCGTGGCCATGAACGACCATGGAAGCAGAGTCGCCCACGAGACAGACATCTATGCCGACCTCGTCAAGGTGAACGGCTGATGGATAGTCATAAGCAGTTACGACGGTTATGGGTTCGCCCCTACGGTGCTTCTGTTTCAGGTGGGATAGGGTGATTCGGTTGTTGGGGTTCTGAGGCTTGGGTCCACCGTAGACTGAGTTCTCGGGGACATTGCTCATACATCTCAGCTGGGAAAGAGAAGCAACTCTGGAGATTATGGAAGAAGCAGCAGCAGCGGCTTTGGGTAGGAGGAAGGTGGGCACCACCATCTTCTTTGAACACAGGAACCTGATAAGAGGTAGATTGAAAACAACAAAGAAGGCCGCTGTTCAGTTTGTGAACTGAAGATGGCAATGGTCTGTTAAGTTTGTTGGTTCTCTACTTCTCTTCTCAGCTTTCTTTCATTTTGTTTTAGCTCCATTTATTTATTGAGAGAAGGACGTCTGGGCTGTGAGTCTGTGACACCTGCAACTGCAAGTTGGTTGAATTGGGTTGTTTGAGCGCAAGCAATGAATGAGATAATGTTTCAGTTGACATTTGTCAAACAGAGTGCGCTATGGAAATGGAAGGGAAAACTATGTTTCAGTTGTCAACTTTTAGTGGATTGTTGAGCGCAACTGCGCAAACAATGAATGCGATCATGTTTCAGTTGAGTCTTGAATACGATGTGATCCGCAGCCGAAACGGATCGGATATATGTAGATCCAATTTTGATTCGTTTATATTCGAATTCGAATCGGATCTATACATCGGGATTTATATCGAATTCAGATTGCTATCCGACATTGAATATAGTATAAAATGATAAAGTTTTCTCTAGCATTAATAAAATGAATTTGATATTGCATTTTATGAATAAAAGTAATTGTAAATTACTTATACGAACCTATCAAAATATAGTAAAAACGCAGCATTCAAATCAACTTTATTAATAGATCCAATAAATTTCAAGTATATATTTATATTATGTTGAATCGGATTATATAGGATTGGGTAGGGGTAGATCTATATTCGACCGAATTATAAATGGATCGAATAGATAATTCGCCGTGCTTCAAAAGACTTTCAGTTTCGAAGCATGAGACCCACACCGTGAGGTGAGGTGCATAAATTTTGCCTATTTATTAGAATGAGGCACAATAGAATAAATCAAGTTCCATTTAGTTTATCTTAGTGTTTTAGGAGAGCTCAATGCAAAAAAAAAGTTCAATCAATTTCTTTCTTGAATAAATTAGGTAAAATTATTTTCACATTATTTTAAATCTAATATTCCAAATTTGTTGTTTTTCTCACTTATTTTGCTAATGGAATTACTTTCTTAATTGTTAGATGATCATAAATCTAATATCTATCATATGGATGATTCTACATATGTTTCCTTTCTTTAATTTGATCATTTGAATGGTTTCAAATGTTTATAATTGTTAGATGATTGATTATTATTTGATTTAATGCTTAAAAGTTAGAACTTATTACTTATAATCTTTTATTGTATGGATATCTGTACCTTTTGTCATTTTAATTTAATATATTATACGTTATTTTTATCATTTATAAACTTTAATTAATTCGTTTTTCTTAATTTTTAAGAAAAATTACGCTTCCTTTTTTAAAACCTTTTTGGACCATTACGCTTCCTTTTTTAAAACCTTGCAATCGACTACCACTTGCAACCCTACGGAATGGTCGGGTTATCTATTTCAAGTTTCAATTGGGGTTGTAGCCGGGTCGGATTTAGATCGGATTCAATGACATCTGCATCCAATCCAACTAGTGGAAATCAGAATCCAAATCAAATCCAGGATCTGATTAGATTTGTGGATATTAGATTGGATTTAGGGCGATCCGATCATATTTGTCGAATTTGGATCTCTTGATCGGATTGGATTCGGATCACCTCTATCCAATCCAATATATATTATATATTTATATTTTTATATAATATATATATTATTTATTTATTTATTTATAAATTTATTATATTATTTATTTTTATAAAAAACATGTATATATAATGAAAATAATTAAAAAATATTTGTATTTTTTGTTTTTACTTTACTTAAATTAGTATATTTTATTTTTCTTTTAATAATTTATTAATTTTGAAAGAAAACAAGTCAGACCAGATCAGATCCGAAGATCTGACTTATCGACAGGATTCGAATTCAAATCGAGTCTTATCATATCTAATCGGATCTTCAGATCTAGCATGAAAAATGTCGGATCGGATTTGAATATACCCAGATTCAAATCCGATCCAATCTATTTGCATCCCTAATTGGAATCATATTTAATCCAACTATGATTCATATTTTTTAAATAAATAAAATTAAAAATAAATACTTTTTTAGCATAAATAATAAATTAGAGAAAATCCATGATGCCAGAAAGACATCATACTGGAAAGGGTTTGACCAATCACAACCCCCATGAATTTTGGTAAAAACCCACCTGATTTGTTCCTACTTTTGTAATGCCAATTGATTGGTTGTAAGTTCATTTGGTATCATGTCTTTCTAACACCACAGTCAAACCTAATAAATTAATATAAAAATGAGTATGTATTATTTATATATTAAATCAATATATATTATAAAATAATTGAACACAAATTTTAATCCAATTGAACATCGAATGAATCCTAGACTTTCAAAGAATTGAGATTTACTCCTCACAAAGCGCACCTCGCACCAATGTCACAACCCCATCCCACCGTGTATTGGGAACATCTCCCCATGAATAACAATATAAAATACAAGAGATGTTTATGTGCAAATAAGATGCACTGTAAGGTTGGTGTGAGGAGTACTATGTGAAAAGCATATCTAGACTCATTTTCAAAATATGGGATCCATTGTTTGAGACTTTTTCTTGGAAATAGGGCTACACACAGATGAAATTGGAATGAACTAAATCCGAAATTGATTAATATTATTTGAATTCCAATAGGACTCGAATAAAATAAAGGTTGCAACCATTTTTTTAATTTAAAGTGGCTTTGGTATGAAACTTGAACTCACGACAGGAATAACACGATATATATTGCTACAATTAGGTCCAGAGATATTGTTTGACTAATTTTCTCCTCCTCTACGACTTTCATATCTATAAGGCAGCAAGTCTCCTCCTCCTCTACAACTCTTAAGATCGAGGGCAAAAAACCTCCTTTACAATGGTGAGATCTAACAAGGGCGAGGTTCATTGGAATCGTGAATCAAGGTGTGTGTGCAATAGGGGTGGCCACGAGCCAAGCTTCTCACGAGTTATTCAAGCTCGGCTCGGTTTAAACTGAGCTTCGAGCTGAGCTCGAGCCAAGTGAAGCTCGACTCGTGAGGCTTGCAAGCCTAGTATAATAAATAAATAATTTTTTACATGCATGCATATATATAATAGTAAATAATTTTGATAATTCTTATTTTTTGTATGTAAAATAAAACATTTTTATATGTATATATTTTTTTTATTTTTTATATGTATAATAATAAATAACTTTTATAATTCTTAATTTTTGTATGTAAAATAAAAAAATATTTATTTTTTAGAAAAAAAACTTGGCTTGTAGTTGAGCTTGAGCTCAAGTCGTCTCTAGCTCGAATCGAGCTCAAGCCTAACACAGTTCCAACGAGCCAAGCTCGAATAGCCAAGTATTCGGCTCGGCTCGATTCCACCCCTAGTGTGCAATGGGGCTATTATTCTTGTTTGCTTGATATCTAAATGGCAAGTATCCTTAAATACGATGAGAGGTATTTTGCCCACGTTACAATTTTTTTTTGTAATTTTTCTGGTGGCTTTTTATATTTCTGTAATTTCTATTATATTTCTTCATTTTCTATGTTTTTCTATAATTTTTTATATTAATCAACAATTTTTATTCTTTTTTATGCAGTTTCTAGTTTTTCTTTATTTTTTGTAATTTCTATTATTTTCTTAATTTTTATGTTTTTCTATAATTTTTATTATCTCATTATGCAATTTCTGTTTTTTTTTTCTGTAATTTGTTGTTTTTATATTTTTTGTAAATTTTGTTATTATTATGTGTATTTCTTTGTTTTTTTGCAATTTTCTGTGTTTTTTCTATATTTCTTTTTTACAATTTCTAGTGTTTCTGTATTTTATGTTATTCTTTGCATTTTCTAATTTTTTATCTCATTTAATGAATGAAAATTTAATGGGATTGGGTTATGGTGGGATTTGGTTTGAACCTGACCCATTTAATTTTTCATAAATGGGTGATTAACAGGTTTGCGGTGACCCAAACCCGCCCAATTTCCACCCCTATTTGTGGCCCCCTACTTGGTGGAGGACCAGGTCCAAATTCAAGGTTTGGGTTCAAAAATAGAATTTTGGAGGTACAAGTACTAGTTTCTCTTTCATGCATAGTGTGCGACTCTGTGGAAGAATGTTCGGAATCAGGTGGTCTTCCATGAGGAAGTGGTGGCAGCTGATGTAATCATTCAGAAAATATAATTACTGGGTTTCTAAGGCTTAGTTTGGAAGGAGTATAAATACAAATATATAGAGTGAAAAATTCTTGTATTTTATATTATTTTGTATGTATTGCACTATACATATTTGTATTTACACTCTTTCCAAATTATTATTTATTTTTTTTTTTGAAAGAAGCCCGTAGGCAGAATTCCATTAGCTCGATGAAGAGTCCATTGCATTAGCTCTTGCAAGAAGAAAATTACCATTATGATCCCGAATGACTAGTCCAACAGAACCCACACCATGTTCAAAAGCAGCATCAACGTTCACTTTTAAAAAATTTACAGCAGGTTTAGACCACACTTCCACCAATCCAGGGGCCAAGAGTGTCGAAGTTGCAGATGGCATGGGATCCGAAAGACTTGAGCACCAATCAATTTCAGCGTGAGCGTTGTGCATAACACAGTAGGATCGAATTGAACACCATCAAATAAATGAGCATTTCGGGCATACCAGATTTCTTTCATAATAATTCCACCTCGAAATCGATTGCCATCCATCAAAGAATTGAGTTGACAATCTCTTTACCACCAACAATAGAGAAGTGCCGGTATATCTATAATTTGCAAATCCTCAATTATGAAATTCAAGCATGACCCAAGCCAAATTGTTTGAACCGCTGAACATGACAATAAGGAGTGTACAATAGTGTCTTGTGAATGATTACAGAACGGACAACTTGTATCAATACGGATATTGTACTTCCGTAATATCTCAGTTGTGGGCACAACACCATAAAAACAGTTTGATTACTACCCATCTGTGAGTGTATCAATGGGAGGGGAACTGATTGAATTAATGTTACAATCTCTGCTGAGAGATGATGATGATGATGCAACCTGTTAACATCCCATTGTTTCGAAAACTGATTAATGAAAGCTGCAACTTTTGGAGCTTCAGGTAGCGTGTTTGCATAATCATGAAGAAAGATATTTGGCCCACACCAAGGATCATGGAAAAAATCAACTGACTAGCCATCTCCAATTACCCATAAAACCCCTTGTTTAAGAATATCTTTTATAGAGTTCAAGCTTCGCCATGTGTGAGAAACCTTCTCTTTCCAGAAATGTTTACCATGTAAGTATTTTGCCCTCAAAATCTGGGCCCACAAAGAAA